CAAATCTCTTAGTTTGCAGGATTGGGTCTATCGCTGAGGTCTACACTTATCTCTCGGGAAGGTGTAGTATTCGCGGTATCAGGCACGATTATGCAAACTATCAGACTAATGAGATCCATTTGGTCTCATTTTTCAAAAATTAAAACATACTACTTTTAAAACTCAAACTATATATCTTTTATACTTAAATTAAATCTCAAAAATTATTTTCATATACCATATTTTCAAATCTATATCAATCTCGAAAAAAAAGTTGACCGACAAGCTTCAAAAAGGCCTCCATTTTCTCTTAGTGATTTTAATGCAACATCCACGCAACCCTTAATGAATAGTGACAAATTCTGAAGTAATAGTCAGTCATTCTCTATTCCTCATTAACTCCACCAAATAGTTATCACGAGACCACCTTACGTCTTAGGAGATGTGCATGCTTCGGATCAGAGGGTGCATTTGATCATGAGATTATTCCGATCCTCCTAAATCCTAAAGCCATAGGCAAAGCTTACACTAGAGAAGAGGACCTCTTGGCTTGCTCAGTACTATGTGTTAGTTAGCATATGTGTTAGTTAGCATAATAATAGTTGTTGCTTAACTTATTACAAAGTTATGGGTGGATAATCATCATTCTTCTCCAATCAAAGTTAAGGATAGAACTCAAGAATCTCAAATATAACCTATAAAACATAATGCTTCTAGATCTTCAAGTTTTCCATAAAATATATGTCGATCACTAACATATGATCCCATCCTCTCACATCTATCATAGAAAATAATAAAATATGAAAGCTTCCACGGTTATTAAATACTAATATTACCTACAAAACATAATGCTTCAAGATCTTCAAGTTTTCCAAAAAATATATGTCGATCAATAACATATGCTCCTATCCTCTTACATCTTTCATAGAAAATAATAAAATATGAAAGCTTCTACGGTTATTAAATACTTGAATTAATGAAAAGTACAAAAGTTCTTAAAACCATTCATTTATTTATTTAATATTATAAGACAATACAATGATGTGCATTATCAATCATGTCATGAATTCTTAGCATGAAAACATGAATTAGTTATTGGCCAATATCGAAGGAATGCAAGAGTTAGCATAGCAGTAAGCATTTTCTTGATATGCTACATGGAATTTTGCAGTTAATAGCAGCTTTTAAAAACTTTCATTAATTTTTTTTAAAAAAATCCTAACAAAGTGTGCCATCTCAGCAATATTTTCATCATAAAATGCATGAAATTGTGGCGCACCTGCCAAATTGGCTTGCTAAGTACTGCTGCACCATCCTCATTGGCATCAAGGAGGCCACTGTTCAGAATATTCTCCACAGAATCTTGCCGAGGAAATTCCTCCATGGTATTAGCACAAGTAGATGCAACAATCATGTCAAAATTAGATGATTCCAACTCCATTGAACATCGTTCGAAAATTTCATGCCATGATGCCATATCATTCATTGTTTTGGTACCAGTAAAGGTTAATCCACCATCAGACTCATTTGCAAGACTGTGCATGCCAACTTGAGCAACTGTGAAAGAATTAAAAGTAGGTATTTCAGCCTGCAATCTCTGATAGCCACCTGAAAGGCTTCCCAAAGATAGGGATCAAACAAGAACACAGGCATAATATAATCAGAAAATTGTAATCTTACATGGATGATCTTTTTCTGGAGCTATATCACAAGAATTTGCAAGTTTGACATTCATCCGAGGTCCATATTGCTGCATCGTAAGGAAAGAGTTGTATCGGGAACTTGATTGAAAAATATCTGCTGCATCGAATTTCGCTTTAGATACACTGGAGGAAAGGGTGAATGATTGAAATGTGAATCAGTTATCTATATTGAATCTGATGACACATAACAGATAGGCAGGGAGTACCAAATAGACCTGAATCATCTTCATATTCTGATAAATGTGTGATATTAGGACTTTCAAGATTGGCGGCTAATGAAGGCGACTGGCTTTGATTTACAGAGGAGTTGGAACGTGCAGGACTATCTACATGGGTAATACGTGAGATTGTGCCATCCTCTCTTGGTTGAAGAAATTTTGTTTTGTTACCCTGAGAATAAAATGTGAGAATTAATCATTGGGTAAAAGTAGTTCCTAGCCCACCTCTCCCTCCCCCCGCTCTCTCTCTCTCACTAAATACTTGAGTCCATTTGAACATCTTACATCCATTGACAAAACTGAATCACCCAAATAAGCATTGGAACCTCTAATCACCACACTGGGTATTAGTTAAAGCTACTAGAAGAAGTTTATTTGGATAGCTTCCAATTAAATTAAGAAGCCAAAAAATTTTGAATATGTATTTTTAAGAAAACTGAAACCACCACAACATTTCAGACCAATAAATTCAAATATGAACATAATTAATATGCCAAATTCATTTTCTCCTCTATCTTTCATCGATTTTCTTTGAAGTTCTTCAGCTTCCCAATAGTTAACCATATTAAATTAAGGAGCATGTTTATTTTTTTTTTTCTGATCAAGGATAGATGAGAAACAACTAGCCGAAAGAGCCGCAAGAAAAAAATCGAACACCCACTGTTCTTACTGTCAAGTTCCCCATACCTTGGGTGCAGTCCTCGAAGACTCACAGAAAGGCAGTTAAGGCAAGGAGAGAGAATCAAGAAAACAAAATTTAGCTTATATTTTTTGAAGAATAGTAAGGGCACTTTTTTCCCTTTTAAAGTCAATGAAGAAAACAGCCAAATGAGAGCCAAAACAGGGAATGAACTCAAACCTTGACTTCATGGTAGTGTACAAGAACAATATGCATTAATTCCCTGCAAAAACAAAAATAATATAGTGAATGATTTGTAAATGGATAGAAGTTTGTATAGAGTAACATGATTGATGAAAAAAAAATATGAGATTTCGTTCCACTAGTGCAAAAAAGTAGGTAGCAGGGACTAGGAAATGTCATCTAAGGACTTCAGACAGCAAAATAATGCATTCGAGAAACTTTAGTTCGGTGGTGGTTGGGAGGTGTTGTGGGGGAGTGGGGTGTTGCGGGAGCTGGTTAAACCCTATTCCTCCTCCCTTGCAGGGGATGGAACTGCCACTAAATTTTGAACATCAAACAAATAGTTAACATCACCCACAACAGTAAAATTGCTGCTCACAATCTAAATCTTTGCTTATCACAATCATAATCTTCGTTCAATGAATTTGATGCCCTATAACTTTCTCTATCTTCTAAATTCCAAAATTTTACATTAGTTATACTTATTTTGATATTTAAACATTTCGATGAACTATAAAGTTAATAAAACTCACTTTGAAGCTTTCACTGTTTTCTCGAGTGTCATGATCTTATGCACTTTGTATTTTTTGCTTTTTAAACATTAGATTAACCATGAATATGCTAGAGACTACATAACCACAAATTTAATAGAAAATAAGAAATATTTTAAGTTTAACTTTTTGAGAAAAAAGGAGGGAATGCCCAAGTATTAGGCCTGTGACATTGCAGCTTTAACTTAAGTTGAATTAACATAAATTTAATTTATTAGTAGATTTCAAATGGAGGAATATTTCAGATCACAACATTAGATAGGAAGATCAGGCCATCATGAGTCCACAGATGAAGATGGATCGGATCATCAACTGAAAATCATAAAAGAGAGATCAAGTTCCTGAAAAATGGATCATTTGATCAAAATCTAGACCTATGGCAATGACAGAATGCCCCGAATAATCGACACGTTCACCCGTTTACCAAGCAGAGTCTCACGAAATCTTCCTTCTTTGCCTTCAATTACATCGGAAAATGACTTGTAAACTTTATTATGACCATCTCTCATGGGTTGTCCGCGGATCCCATTATCAAAAAGTGTATCCACGGCCTCTTGTACCAATTTCTCCTGACACATTACTAATTCCCCTGGTGTAGATCTACTTGTTGCTAATAGATCGGTAAGAGTATTGTTCCGATAGATAACTCTTCTATAGAGTTCATTAATATCCGAACTCATTAGTTTACAATATGATAAGGATCAATTTTGCATTTTAAACTTACAACAACAATAACAACAACAACAAAGCCTTAATCCCACTACGTGGGGTCGGCTACATGAATCCTTTTCTCCATTGTGTCCTATTTAGTGTCATATTTTCATTTAGTTCTGGTAAATTAAGATCATTTTTAATACAATAAGCCCAAGTCTTCCTAGGTCTACCTCTGTCTTTCTTAACACAAGTCAAATTTAAAACATCTACTCTCCTAATCGGATCATCTAATGGTCGACGTTTAATATGACCAAACCATCTAAGACGACTTTCTCTAATTTGTCTGTCACAGGAGCTACACCAACCCTATCACGAATATATTCATTCCGCATTTTGTCTCTAAGTGTCAAGCCACTCATCCACCTAATCATTCTCATCTCGGCAACACTTAACTTATTATTATGCTTCTCTTTTAAAGGCCAACATTCAGCGCCATAGAGCATCTAATGGTCAACTTATTATGGATAAATTTGCATCCGAATTTTAAATTTAGTTTTAAGTTTCCCTCTTTTATGGACATGGTTTTGGAAATTTAATTTTTTTATAGCCCCACGCACCACCACAACCACTTTTTTTTCTCCTAATTCTATCAACCCCTGCCCCAACTTGTTTTCCCGACTATAAGAAAAACCTACAAGATTCCTTTCTCCGTTTCTTCTTTTTTTAATTTTTTTGTCATCAAAGAGCTGACGGTTTTTCTATGGCATTGTTTAATGTGGAATATCATGAATTGGGGATTCATACTTGGTTAATAGGTTTGTGTAGAGAAATCTTATAACAGATGAAGATTTTACCTTGAGATTAATAAAATCTCTAGTTTTTCTTAAGCCATTTTATTTATAAAAGCAAACTAATTTCTATTTCATCATTTCAGATGAACGACCGATCAGTTTATTCATAATTTAAAACATTTATCTAGGTTATATGACATTATTGAGAACTTGGTATCTATTGTTTTTTGTTATTTATTCTAATAATAAGGGTTACTACCTACTAAGCAATTACCTTTTATTTATTTTATTTTATTTTTTTGAATTCCTAAATAGTTTCAGTTTCAATTTTCAGTCTTAACTGCACTTATATCGATCATATCTGTATCCAAAGTTAAAAAAAAAACAATAATATGATTTTTTAACTGAATTATGAAAGGTTTAGAATGTTTATTGTAAGAATCGTGTAGCTTTGTTTATGTTACTAATTTCGTCACACAAAATTGTGATTGTTTTGTTTCTCTTTTTTTTTTCTAAGTTAATGTTTTTAAACTGTTTTTGTTAGGTTTGGCTTAATTCTTTTTTTCAAATTTAATAGTTGATGACAGCAGCATTTTAGATTTTATCTCACTATAATTAATAATAAATATTATATCCTTTAATATTCATACTCATGGTGTGTCTTATTTGAAAGAAAAAATGATAGATTGAAGTAATATGAATTGAAGTTTTGTTGATTTTAATTTATTAGGAGTTTAAAGATTTATAAATTCTAATCTCCAATATATGTTATAGAAATATTTTGTTGAACACCAACAGTTTTCAGCTGCACATAATTCTACTAATTTTTTTAAGCCGCCAATCTTGATCCCAGGTCTGAATAAAAAATATTGAGAAACATTTTGAAAATTTTTATTTATGCTCCCGATTCCAAAAATTTTTGGTTCTGCCACCATGATCGAATGTTACTTATTTTATAAAATTAGTTTAATAAGGTCAATATTCATCTAAAATCATGGAGTTAGTTTAGACAAGATAATGCTGAATTCAATTAAATTCCTATAGTAAATTTCCAGATTAAAAGCTTACATTTCTCAGTAAAAATAAATCCATGACTTTTTCCAATCCTTCTTCTATTTCCCCACTTGCCTTGGCATGGCAGCGTAGCAACAATAACATTTTCATATGGTTCAACAACAAATTCATTTCAACCCCACACATGGTCTGTTTTTCCAAATTCACTGCAATCACCTCCCTTATAACCCTGATGATGAATCCCCTCTTATCCGCACTATCACAAATCAACCTGACGATAACAAATCAAAGAGAAACGGACCATATGTAAACATTGCAAGAAATTTGGTCATCTGAAAGAGAAGTGTTGGAAAATGCATAGAAAGCCTGCAAATTGGAAGCTCAACAAAGTCAAAGGTGATGGAGAAAGAACAAACATCTTCTCAAAGTGGCCCAATCAATTCCTTTGACTAACAATGTACCCAAAAACTTATAAGGTGATGCAATTATTTCATCCACCTATCTCATAGATAAGATACTTAGCAAAGTGCTAAGCTTTAACAAATCTCTCAACTCCCTCATAAAATCCTATCCAAATATTCAATACTTCAACGCCCTCTTCAAATTTTGGCTCCAACTAAAAATGTATGAAACATACACATGAAGGTGTTCATAAGACTACTCTTTACAAAATAATTGTTGAACAAAAGAGCATTATCAAGTTCCTTCTAGGACTCAACAAGTAATTAGATGAAGTCAAAGGAGAATAATGGGAACCAAACCTCTTCTCTCAATTCATGAAGCTTTACTAGAGTATGAAGGGAGAAAAGCAAAAGGAAATTCTTGATAACAGTTAATTCCACTACATAAAATGTTGACAAGCCGGTTTTATACACTCACAAATCGCCCAGAACAGTAAATTAAAACAACAAACCCTAGAGTGAACATTAAAAGAAACTTGGTCATCTGAAAGAGAAGAGTTAGAAAATTTATGAAAAGACTGCAGATTGGAAGCCCAACAAAATCAAAAGTGATGGGAAAAATCAGGTAAACAAAGCATCAAATAAAGACAAGTCTTACGAACATAGTCCATTCAGTAAGAAACAATTTGAAGCTCTCCAAAGAATTCTGGGACAATATTCTGAACCTTAAACTAGCCATCTAGCACATCAAAGCAGTCTTTCATCTGCTTTTGTTGCTCTCAATAGAAAGAATCAACCTTGGATAGTGAACTCCGGAGCATCATACCACATGACAGGTGATATCGCTGCTTTTCAATAATTCCATTCTTGCAAACACCATGGTGCAGTTAGAACCATAGATGACTCTCTCTTATCTGTGGAAGGAAGAGGAAGTGTGAAACTCACAAATGATTTTATTTTTCCAGTTGTGTTTTATGTCCCTAAACTTTATTGCAATTTATTGTCTACCAGTAAACTCACTTGAGACATGAATTGTATTACTAAATTCTACCTAATTTACGTGAATTTCAAGTAATGAACTTGAGGAAGGTGATTGGCCCTGTTGATATGTATTATGGACTCTATCAGCTTACAAGGACTCCCACTTCAAAAAGATCATCCCTTCATTCACATACCTTTGAGTCAAGTCTTATATTTGAGTCGGTTTTTCATGTGAGTCAAGTTATATTATGTTATGAAATTTTCGCCATAGACATTCTAACTTCCATGATATTAAGAAATAGCATCCCCGTTAATATATCAAGAAAAAGCTTAGTTCACTTCAGCGTGAACTTTGTCAATTTGCTAAAAATACTTGACAAGTCTACCCAAGCCTGAAATATAAACCAACACATCCCGCAAAATGAGCAACACAAATGGAGCTAGATGGTTTGTCACCTTCATTGATTACAACACGAGCCACTTGGACCTTTCTCATGAAAGAAAAATCTGAAACTGACAGCATATTTGAAACCTTTAACAACATGAACCTCACCCAATTTCATAGCAAAATTCAAATTCTAAAAACTGATAATACAAAAGACTACTATAACTCCACTCTCGGCTCTTATCTGTCCAAAAATGACATCA